TTTCTGGGCTGCGAGCGCACATCGCTGGCTCGTATTCAGCCCATATAATTTATATTCATCTGCCCAGCTCAGGAGGCAAAGGTTTGTCCCAGGCACCTCCGCAGACACGGGACAGCCGGGTGGTTCCCATCCCGGGCTCCGCACGGTCTAGATACCATCACTGCCTTTGAACCAAAGGTGAGTGAGTCACTCCCTCTCCCGGGCTCTATTTCGCTCATCTTAAGCTCAGCCTGGGAGTTTCCAGCCTTTTGAGCAAAAGAGGGACGGGGCAGCAGTTTGCAGATCTGGTGCCTCCCCACCGTAGAAAGAAAATTGCTCTCCCCACTTACCATCAGCATCTTCAGATCTGCCCGTTCCGCTGGATTTTTAATTAAGCTGAAATGAGAAGAACGAGAGAGCGAAACCAACGCTGAGACATTTCTTGTGGGAAACCGGTTATCTGGCTGGAGAGGTCTCCAGCTTCACCGAAAGCCACTTGGCCTCCTGGCTGCTTTCCCCAGGAGCCCGGCAGCATGGAAACGCTCAGAAAGCGTCACCTCCAACAGCCCAGCTCCTAGGGAGAGCTGCAGGATCCGTCTCTTCTAGACCGTGTGGATGAACCGTCTCCTGCAAATGGAGAAAAGGACCTAACGCTTGGCGGGGATCAGCGATTTTTGTCATGTCCAATCTCTGTGATTTAACGGGAGCTGCGGCAGCATCTTCAGGTGTCCCCCCACCGCCTCAGGAGCCCTGGAAGTCGATGGTGTACGCCTGGTGCCTGCAAGGCTGCGGGGTGACTCACAGCCCCAGCAATCTGCTCCACCATCCCCCTGCCAGGCTCGTATTTAGAAGGTGCTGGGATACTGCAAAGCATCACCACAAATAAACTGCTTTTATTTCAACCCTTCCCAAGGCAGGAGTTCCCAGCACGATGCAGGATCACACCGCAGCCAGGGAGAGATCACCTACAGAGCACGGAGAATACTGCGTTACGCTGAACGTTTCTGGGTGGAGCGGCAGCCTGCAGAGCTGTCAGGGAGTACATACAGGCCTCCACCTTCAGCTGTAAGACGAAATCCTTACCATTTATTTACAAACTCCTGGAAATCTTGCGTGAAGACTCCGTTCGGCAGCTTGGGAGGTGGCTGCAGAGAAAAGGAGAAGGGTTTTCTGCATCAGTGTGTGTTAACGGGTCAAAAAGCAGAGCGTCACCTACAGTCTTTAATGAGCTGCAGAAAAGCCCTGCTCTACAGCTATCCTCCTCCGCCTCCAAGCTGCCCTTCACAACCAGGGAGCTGCTCCCTGCCATTTCTTCCCCTGGCAGCACGTGGCTGGGCTGGCAGCAAACTGCTGCCCCAGCACCACGTGCAGCCGGGGGGACCCCATGCTGAATCACCGCCGAAGCTGGGAGATCGAAATTGCAGCGTCACAATTCTGGATCCAACCTCGCAAATCCCAGCTCTGGCAACGCCTACGGCGGACGAAGCCGTTCCAGAAACGATAACTGGGGGTCAACTCCTAGCACCCTGAAAGGGGAAGCTGCTCTTTTCACTTGCTGGTGGGATGGACCCTACCTTGAAAGTCCGGTAGGACATTTCAGCCTGGGATTTTAGCACTGGTCACCCTCATTCAAAGGGCTTCATCTGAGAAAACGTGCACGACCTCAGCATCTGCACAGAGGGAGCGTTCATCCTTTGCTGATCTAGGCAGGAGCACGTTTGAAACGGCCAGTTGCAGAAGGAGCAGGTCATTACAGCCAAGAGCTCCCCTCTCTGCTCTCTTCTTTCAAGGGTATTACGAACTCCCCCCTGCAGAGCCCCATTCCAAAACCAGAGATACTTTTGCGATACAAAGAGATGGGAAGAGGGAACAGGGGAGAAGGAAAGGACGTCAGTGCGGCCCAGAGGAGCTCTCTATTGAAAAGCCCCGGTTCAGGCGAAGGTTTCGGAGCCCACCCTGACACAGCAGAGCGGACACGACACTGTGGTACCTCAGGGAAGCCCGGCAGAGCCGACGGTAAAGAAACACCCACCTCATTAACTATATAATCCAGCAGTTCAAAGATGGCCATCGCAGGCCGGCTGTCCATCCCATGGCCTGTGTGATTAAGACGACAAAAACAATGGTGAGAGGCTGTTCGGGGACAGCGAGGGGCCTCCTCTCGTGTGAAGAGCACGTGTGCTGTGGGACTTTTGCTGGGAGAGGCAGAGGCAACCCACTTGGGAACTGACTCGTGGTTAAAAAAATAACAAAGAGAAAAACAAAACGCATTCTGAGATTTCAGATTTCTTTCACCGTGCCTATAGTCCAGATTTATTTCCTAGCTTGGAGCATTTGGAGAGTACCAGACCATCTGCTGTGGCAGGCTGGCAGCACTTCTAGAGCCTTCTGCTTCCAAGCAAATGGCTCAAGCAGAGCCTCCTTCAAACCCCCGTGCCAGTTTGGTACTTCTATGAGAGCTCCCAGCAAAGCTGTTCCCAAAAAGCTGCCCCTAGCTTGAAAGGAACCTGTTGGCAGCACGGGCAGAGCCCAAGGAGCAACGTGGGCTGTGAGAGTGTCCCTCAAAGCATCTCCTCCAAGGGGTCCACATCCCAACAGCCTGCACCGTCCCCAGCACGGGGTGCTTTGCCGCGTGGCTTGAGCTTTCTCGTGGGACACAGCAGGGTCTAAAGGCAGATAAACAGAGCTCTTCAAAAATCTTAATAGGCCCTGTCCGGCATCCTGAGAGCCATCTCCTCACCTCCCCACACGAGACCAGACTCCCGCCTGCGTTCGTTCGGAATTGCAAACCTCGGCAGTAGAGTGGATTCTGGTGGAGCACGGACACGGCTCCATCTGCTCTGCAGAGAGGGGCCTCCCTAGAAACACTCACCTCCCCGCCACAACCTCATCCAAAACGACCTTTGGCTAACCCAACCACACCGAACAAAACCCGGCCCCTTCTCCCCCACGTCTGCATGTTGTTTCCAACGCATACGACAGCCCCTACCACTGACGGGGCGTCCTGGGGGCCTGGCCCGCGGCGAGATGCTGTGAGACTCTCCCTCTGCCCCGTCCACCACAGGACGGCCAAATATTGCTTCCAGTTCCTTGGAGTCTGGCGGGGGGATTGGGTACCTTCCGATAGACAGCTCCACTAACGACAGACCCATGCTCCAGATGTCGGACTGGACCGAGTAGTGGGTGCCCTGCAACCGCTCGGGCTGGAAGGAAAGACCACAGAAACACACACCGACACAGAACATCAATACGCAAAGTCCTAAATATCATGCACCGAAATTAAACAGATGAGACTCAATATCCTGACGGCCTCTCCATCCCTCCAGCGAAAAGACTGTCCCAAAGGGGTCACAGGCAAAGGGGATGCAAAAGAAAGATCACGTGCAAGCATAAAGCACTTGTACACATCTAATCAACAGCTACAGTTGAGCAGCATTTACAGCTGCTTACACTTCAGAGTCCGGAGTACACAGTAGGAATCTCTTTCTCTGTGTGCTGAGATCTAATGAACTCCATTTATTAACAAAAATTCCCCCCCGTTAATACCCAAGAGGAATTTGAGGAGCAGAAAATCCACCCTAGGCTCCTACCATTGAAAGAAAAAGAAAAATGAAAAATAAATCAATCAATGCAAGTCATCCATACTGGCAGCTTTGAGTCAGCTGTGCAGACCCAGTGGCTGAGTGCAAAGGAGATATTGTTTTTAAATAGCCACCGTCTAACTATAACTGTACTTGAATAACCATTCCCAAAATATGAGAGCAGCTCAGACCTAAGCACGGAAGTGTAGCCTGATGGCTTCCCTAATAACCCACCGCTCGTTCCCAGCCACGGCCACGCACGGTGCGGGGAGCAGACCCCCCCGGCCCCCGCCTTTCAGCCAGCAGGACCTGGGGACTGGGAGCCGGCCAGGGGGTAATTTTATTGTCAGGGGCACTCTGTCGTCCGCAGCTGAGCTAACGCCGATTATGATTCTCATTTAAAGGAGAGGCACAATCGGCTCTTCCCCCAGTTCACTCTCACTGGCTGACTCCAATTCGGCTTTAATTTCCCATTAGCCTGTACCAAAACCCAGCTGCACTAAACTGGTTTTCCCCCCATTTTGCCAGCAAGTGCACGTGGTGAAAGCAGCGGAGGGGGTGCGTGCACCCCTGCCGCGCTCAGTTTTTTTGGACAGAACTTTGCATACAGAAAGAGAAGATGTTTTTGAACCCACAAACACTCGCCAAAACAAAATATGGAAGTGTTTGTAGGATCCAAAACGCCTTTCCCTGCAAGTCTCTGCTGCGCTTCCATGTGCACCACTGCTAGCCGGGCACAGGTTGGAGCTGACCGACTCCTCGAGAGGATGCGGAGGTGTCGGCTTTTCCGGCACAGGACGATGCCTCGAAGCACTGGGCTCACCCCCAACGTGAACCAGGAACGGGGCAGTCCGGATGAGGATGGAAACACAGAGCAAAACCGTGAGCGAGTGGGACACCACACGCTGATTCTGTAAGAGCCGGGTCGAACCCAAATTGTAAAATAACCCAGCCAGAAATTGAAAGGAACTTACAGACATGTAGGACCGAGTTCCCACAAAAGAGTTTGCCATGGAGTCAATGAGTTGACCGCTGACCCCGAAATCACACAGCTTAATCTCTCCTCGAGAGTTAACCAGGATGTTAGAAGGCTTCACATCTGACAACAGCAAGAGAGAAGAGCGTAAACGCGACTCTAGGCAAAATACAGGGCTCTTGTACCGCAGGCAGTTATTTTTAGGTTCCTCCTCTCACCTCTGTGCATGATTTGGTGCTTCTCTCTCAGATATGCCAAGCCTCTCAGAACCTAGAAGGAAACCAAAGACCGGATGAGATCAGAGCTAGGAAGGGAAGTGCTTTCCCTTCGGCAGGACACGTCGCATAAACTCGGGGTGCTGCCACACTGCAGCTCGGCGAGGAAAGCAGCCCCAGAGCGTCCACGTGTTTCAGGGTTTGCAGTTTATCACCAAGTCAATCACAGATCTTGGGTTAACTGCCCGAGAAAGCTTCGCCCAAATCTTCTCCAGGAGAAGCCAACACCAGCCAGTGCAACGTAAGGGGTCGGAGCTATGGAGAGTGGTTGGGAATATGCTTTCCCCCTCCCCTCTCGCACACACCACGGCCTCCTGCCCTAGGTCAGGATAGGAAAGCGCGTATGGGGAAACGAAGAAAGCTTCCTAAGGCAACACAAGCATTATTCCCAAACCGTGCCCAGCCAATCCTTTCTGGAAGCCTGAAGAGCCACCGTAACTCACCGCTATACTGACTTTCCCCAAGATCTCCTCGGGAATTCTTTTGGCTTCTTTCAACACCTGATCCAGAGAGCCACCATCCTAGAACAAAGAACATCGAAATGACCAACACGCCAATCCCCGGCAGGAAAAGAGAGCAGCTGGCTGTACAGGCAAGCATGCCCAGGGAGGGCAAGTGGTATATAAACAGTACATAGCATCCCGGCTCAGCTGTCTGCAACGACTCAGCATCGAGCACACTCCTTCCACAGCAGAAAAAATAAATATCCGGTGATCAGAGCTCAAGCTTCTCGCTGAAAACTATTTTAATGCTATCTTTATCAGCTCTACTTCTTGCTATTAGTTCTTGGCTTCCTTTCCATGAGTGGCAAATGCAAAGATGATGCTGTCAGCACTGATCCGGAGGGGCGACAACGCTATTCTCCGCCAGAGACAACAGAAAATGCACACTGTGCTACACGGCAAGCTCTGTAGAGCGGCGGGTTTACAACATTTCCGTTTGGCCAACCCCCAAACCTCTGCTTCCGCTTTCCAAAAAGTCGCTCGCTCTGTCATTTCGATACCTAAGCAGGAGCGTGCAGCTCCTACCAGGAGCACAGAAGCCTTGCTGCAGCCAGAGCAAGGAGCCATTGTGGCTGCCAGCACCCTAACCCATTTCACCCGCAATTTCAAGTCTCAGGGAGATGCAATTCAGAACAGTCCAGGGAGCAGCAGTTTGCAGAGGAGGAACGGGGACTTACCATGTGCTCCATGCAGATGGAGATCTCTCCGTCGCTGTAGAAGGCTCCATAGAAACCCACGATATATGGGGAATTACACTCATGCAGCACCTGCAGCTCTCGGATAATCCGATTCCTGATGGCCGGTTTGATTTCTAAATGAATCAGCTGCCAAGAACAAAACAAAAAAATATTCAAGGTGTAACGCCTGGGAAAAAAAAACAACCCACAACTTACGGGAACCGTGCGAGCAAGTCCTGAGTGTTGGAAAGAAACAAAGTCTTCAAGGGAAGCTCTGCTTTGGCGTAGACTTTTTACCATTTGCAGACTAACATTAAGGATAAAGGGAGAGGTAGAGCCCGGTGCAGCCTGTTAGCGACTGAAGCAACTGCCGGCCATGTAACACGCGGAGATCGCACAGGATACAGAGCGGAAAGACAAGTCAGAAGTTTGATGCAGATCTGACTCAGCAGACGGGAACATTTTCACAAGTTCTGTAGGTGTTGTAAGAAGAGGTGCTCTGATATCAAGGAAACCACAGAAAGTAAAAAAAAACACATGAGGATTATGCACGTGAAAGAGCAGTTGCTTTAGTCCTTTGGCTCCACGTAGAGTCGATTAACACAGCTGTGGGCAGGGAAGCCAGAGGCTAGAAAATACAATGGCAGGTCAGAAAAAAGAGCTCTAGGACAGCCAACCCCAGGGACGTCTGTCCTTCCCGCAGACCTACGAAGGCTGGTCTCTACAGGAAGGACAGCAGTGCTGCAGCTTGCCCTCACTTCAGTTTCTGAACACGGAGCTCCCAACAATCTCAAAACCCACCCAGTGACACCCAACGCTCCCAAATCCAATGCCCTGGAAGACTCTGAGAGCTCAGCTCTGAGCGAGGCCACCTAGAGAAGCGGATTTGCTCATGGAGACCCACTAACCCGTCCCAGCAGCAGGTGAGACCAGAGATTTCCAAGGAAGCTGTCCTACAGATGAGCAGTCGCACTGCTCTCGCCGAGCACTGCCTTTTCTAAGAGGCAGACGAAGCATCTCCTGGTTTTCTACTATAGGGCGCCACAGTAGAAGACGTCGCCCATAAACCCACGTCTGAGAGGAACCACTGTCATGGCTGCTTGGAACTACCTTGGGGACCTGTTAAGTGGGTGATGAGGGGCGAGGAATGTGTGTGTGCCAAACCCATCCCTCCACCTGCCATTTCCAGTCCTCGTTAGCCACGACCTAGGATCCTCAAGAGATCTGCTTCCTACTGCTTCCATCCAGGTTAGCCGAGTTCACTAACACCAGCTTCGCTGGAGAAAAGAATGAACTTCTGTTTTCACACAAGGCGCTCCAAACCCCAGGGACCTGTCGCAGAGAGCGCGGCCCCTCCCAGGGGAGGACTCGGAGACAAGGCAGGGCAGCTCAGGGATGAAGCAGAAGAGGCTCCACGTAAAACCTAGCTGGGGACAGCCGGGACCATGGTCCCCACCCAGGCGAGGTGGTTAGGGTGCAGATGGGTCAGTGCAGAGAGATCCCAACCGAAGCCGGCTCTCCCAGGGCCGGGGCAAGCGCCAGAGGCTGCAGCACGGCACCACAGCCCACTCCTCCTGTCCCCAATTACCTTCCGTGCCATAACGAGCCCTGAGGGTTTGTGCTGCACTTTGGTGACCACACCGCCATTGCCAGCCCCCAGTTCGGAGATCCTCTCAAAGTCATCGTCCTTCAGCTCGCCCACTTTGGCTTTCTGCGTGAGGAAAGCTTCCAGGCGCTTCTTCTGCTGCTTGTCCAGCTCCAGTTCCTCGAGCTTTTTTTGAAGGTCCACCAGGTTTGCCCTGGAGAGGGGAGGAGGAGACAGGAGGGACGGTCAGGAGACTGTGAGGGCAGCGCCAGAGAAAGAGGATGGTTTGGTTTTTTGTTTTTTTTTTTAGGGAAGCAGAGGGGGAAAAACTGAAAACTGTCGTCTGACACATACTCAGCCCCTGATATAGCAGGGAGACTAAAGCAAAGCTCCCGAGAGAGGCAGGGCTCAGCTCCGGTGCTGACAGGGTCACCCGGACAGCGAGACCAATGGTGCAATATCTGCCCAACACACACATCTCCTCTGGAGAGGAGCTTTAGTGCAGTCAGCTGTTTTGGGAAAGCCAAGGAGCAGGGAAAATCCTTCAACCCTTAAAGAGGCAGCACAGCTCAGCCCGGAGAGAACGGCAGCACCAGCAACCGCTCCCGACACGGGAAGCCAAGCTTGGGTTTTGCTGCGAAACACGAGAAGGGCTTTCCAGGGTGTCCAGCAACCCCCTACTCCGTTATGCCCACCCCCCCACAATCCACCGCTCCCGAGCACAAAGGGGTGTCTGTGTTCCCCCAGCACCTGCTGCCGAGCTCCCATCGCCCACACAGGCTCCAGCTGCTCTCTCCCATTTGCTGCCCACCC